TCTCTCTCTCTCTCTCTCTCTCTCTCTCTCTCTCTCTCTCTCTCTCTCTCTCTCTGCGTGCATGTGTGCCAAGAACTTTGTGTTGTTCTAAAATTACGCTCACGCGCACACGTATCAAACAACGTGAAATATTATAGTGCAAATGTAAAATAATACAGGAACAAATATATTTATCAAGTACGTTTAGCAGGATTCAAGATAAAAATTATACAATCTTATTTTTTTCGACTCCTGCTCTTTCTTTCTTTCTCTCTCTCTCTCTCTCTCTCTCTCTCTCTCTCTCTCTCCTTCATTTTGTGCCGAGTTGTATAACTGAGTTTGAGTTTGGCAATGGCCAGGAAAATGTATATAATTGAAGCAATGGTGGTGTAGCGGCAGCAACAACAGCAACAGTGACATCGAACCGAGCGTTATCATCGTGCAACAGCTAACTGTTGGATGTTACGTAAACTTTTTCGTTCGACTTAGTGTTACACAATCGATTCTTTGTTGCACAAACGACTCCGACGTAGGCAGTGGCTTCGTTCATTAGTTAATTCCTTGTATGCCCACACACACAAACAGAGAGAGAGAGAGAGAGAGAGAGAGAGAGAGAGAAAGAGAGAGAAAAAAACACACATAAATTGATACTGTTAAAAGGAAACAAACTTTCTCTCCCATCTCGTTGAATTTTTAGTAATTTGGCAAAGTTTCCCTCTTGCACACACACTCTCTCGCTCTCTATTTAAAGAATTCTTTGTTTTGTTTCATTCTACTTGTTCTTATTCTTTGTGGAATAAAAACGAAACTTCTTGAAAATGTGGCACATTTCAAACGCAAACATTCTGCTATTCGAAATTGAAATAACTCAAAGTTTGTTGGCCAAAATGGATGGAAGTGATGGAAAATAAACAAGAAATACTCAAAATCAAACGGATTTCTTTTTGTTTCTATTTATAAATTTATGTGTGTATATTCTAGATAGTGACAACCAAATGGCGGTTAGTCATAAGGAAAGGCATGAGAGGCAACATATAACAGACATGCATTTACCAGTTACACTCGGTGTTTCTTTTTGGATGACTAATTTCACAATCGACACAACATTTGGCATTCAGTCTGTTGATACAAATGGCACACGCATACGGTAATGTCCAATGTCCATAATAAAACAAAATTAATTTACTGGTTTTCTGTAGTCGTTTTGTCTTTTTTTTCGTTTTTTTTTGTTCCTTTCTTTCGATAGAATATGGAAATGGTGATCCGTTAGTTGGGTGGATTAAAAAAAAAAACAATGAAAAAGTATCGTGTGTGTTTGGTTTTTTTGTTGTTGTTGAAGGAATGGCGTTATTATCCAAAATAGAGCAATTGAAATTCGATTCGAATAACGGTGTTCGATTCCATTTACCGATTGCATTGGTTCGGTCATTCGTTCGATCGTGGGTTCATTGGTGCATTGTTGTTGTAGCACCAAACATTACACTAATGTATAAAACAAACAAGAAATAAATAATTTTAATCATTTTCGGAATGGGGCGAAGAAAAGCAAAAAAAAAAAAAAACGAACACCCCAAACGAATGTAAAGCAGAAGAAAAACCAAAACATGTTTTCAACTAGTTCCGGAAACCTATCATTTCTACGGGGATAGGGAGAACGAGAAAGAGTAAATGTAAAAAAAGGACTAAACGCAAATCCGAAGGTTCAATTCGAATAAAAACATCATAGCACACACAGAGAGAAAAGAAAAATAGGAAAAAGCCATACGAATGAACATACAATAATATACATTGTTGCGCGTTTGCTACCTACACACGAATTCGAGCAGGTCATGAGACCGTGTGTGCCTCTTCTTCTTCTTCTTCAACTTCTTCGGTTGGCAATTCTCTTGTTTTCTCTCGCGCGCAAGCTACTACTGCTGCCCAATGTTTATATATACACACATATTACTCAATGGATATAGTAGCAATGTGCAACAGCGTAAAATATAATATCAAGAATAAATGTTGTCATTAACGTTATATGGCGTACACACAGTCAGTACAGTATGTGGTTATGTTTTTACGAACGGAATTGTGTGTATGTCGGTTGTTCTGTACGAGTTAAAAAGAGAAAAAGAGGAGAAAGCGGGAGCGCACATAGGCAATATATAATACACAACGAACTTATCATTGTATTGCACGTTGTCGTAGTGCGGCTCAAATTTTTTTTTGGCATCGACAAATCCGTCTGAATGTAGCAACAATGTGAAGAATTTCAACGAATAAGTGTCTAAGAGTAATAACCCTTAAACGCCTTCTGCATTTGAAATACTATGTGCATTATAAGCGAGAGAAAAAGCATTTATGCTTGTATAACAAAAATAAAACAAAAGAGACCATTGTTACATTTTCCTTTTCTTCCTATGTTCGTTTCTTTTTTTTTATCTTTCTTGCTTTCATCGAAAATTTTGCAATCTTCGTTCGATTGATAAAACAATTGATTTCGTACTGAATCGCTCGGCGATTTATTTTCTTCATTCATTCGCAAAAACGCAAAGGATAAGAAAAGAATATAAAAACCATCACCACCACCATCACCACTAGCAGCAGCAGCAGTAGCACAGCAATAGCGATTGACTTTTTTGGATTAATAACTTAAATAGAAAAAGCGAGATCCAAAATCCGACGGTATTTCAAGGGATAATGTGCAGAATTCGAAACAACGCAGTTTTCTTGTAATCGACAAGGAACAAAAGAAAAAAGAGTAACAGCATTCAAAACAATGGAATTACAACAATTTCACATGAACATATGTGGTATATGGCGACAAGAGCACACCAACGAGACAGCGAGAAAATGGCAGAGCAACAGCAGCAGTGGCTGTGTAACCAAGAAGAAATAATACACATACATGAAGACATGCACATCAGGCGTTTATATGAAACATTATCGTTGAAATATTGCTGTATTGTAATACGACTGGGGTAAGTTTTAACTGCTCGGTTTTCATGTCCATGCAAAAGGCGACAATGTTGAACGGCACTTTGTGAACTGACACGAGCGATAGAAATGAATGTGCAGCGTAAAGCAAACAAAAACAAAATATCGTACGTACATCGTCAACACGGTGTGGATGTTACTATATATTCGATTCTTAATATTCACACACACACACACACATGCACACTCACATCGAGTGTGTGTACTTAGCGAGCGATAGAACACACGGTCTCTATATTGGCATATCACACAATATTGAGAGCATTTAATGCACACATCGTAGACGCACACGCGCAGACGTGCACGCGATCTCTATGTATATTTGTACATACATTAAAAGAGACAAAAGTGAAATAGTAGATTGAAACTACACACATTCATTGCCATATTGCATAAAAGGTTCCTTTTTTTTAAAACATTTTTTTCCCTTTTTACTCATTTTTCCGTTTCATTTTTGGTGCAATATGCAGGAGCTACAACTTCCCATATCCGCTTCGTTTCGTTCCTTTTAAAATGTCTTTCTCTCCTCTCTTTACTGTTTTGTTTTATTTGTACGGGTTTCTTCCTTTTATTTTGAATTAAGAATATAAATATCGTATAACACACATCAGCATGCGATCAAAATGCAACGCACCTTTTGCATTTGCTCAACTAGAACGCATTTCCATAAGTTATATGTTGTGAATGATTGTATGGTTTTTTTTTTATTTATTTATTGTCATCGTCGTCGTCGTCGGCGTGCGCTCATTCGCTTTGTGTGTTCGAAAACAAAAACCGTAGACACCTTTTGAAAACCGCAAACTAATTCAAAGTGTAATCGTTGAGCTCATTGTAATTTGATGTACTTTGAATTAAATGCGACATACACACTCCTTCTCTTTCGCGCCGCATTGAATTACGAGAGAAAACTAATTCACCGCTTGTCGCCCGCCTTGCAATGTAATGAATTGCAAATTGCTTGTATCACTTTTTTTCGAAAAAGAAAACAATTTTGGGGAAAAGAGGATCACACACAATTATTCACTTTCGCTTGCTCGCTTTTCCATTGTCTGTGTCCGCATCGTCGGAAAATTTTACACATGAATTTTCACACATTCAACCGGTTAATGCTCAGGCAAATAGGCACATAAATGCGAAAATTGAATAATAATTCCTGTTTCGCCGTTTCTTTTTTTTTCGTTGCCTGCCATCAAGAAATGTATCGATGGCAACGAACGAACGAGTAAACGAGCGAACGAAACGCAAAAAGTATAATATGCGTATGTGAATATATCCATCAATTGAGGAGGAATATTTTATGTATATGGGGGCTGTGGGCGCGCATACATAAGAATTTGCGGTATATTCCAATCTTCGTCTTTTTTTTAAAGGTAATCAAGCAATACGATCAATAGGATTTACGTCATGAATTATGCCATAATCGCTCAATTATCTTCTTTAAAGATGATTGGCACAACCACATAAACACATGCACACATGGTACGTGCGTTTACGAAGTTTGCATCGCAATCAAAATTGATTCAGTTAAATCTCCTATGATTATGTAAAATGACACCAATAGTCCGAAGGTATCCAATCAATTTTCGGATTCCATTGAAACCGAAACCGAAACCATAATATATTCAGATACGCAAATGGATTAACATTATGTTCTCGTATTATTATATTTTTCTCTTCCTTTTCGTTTTGAAATTTGAAAGGCAACGAAATATGAAAAGAGAAAAAAAAACCCGCCGTGCCGAATGCATGAATTTTTTATATACTTCATTGACACGCAAACATTGCAGGCGCTCAATATGAAATATTAATCTGCTAAAGTTTCGTCGTCGACGTCGTCATTGTCGTTTGGTTTATTCCAGTCGTGTTTTTTTCTCGCATAATGCATCGTTAAAATCCTAATGATCTTGATACAAGATAAACTTGTCACTTTTCGTCAAAACGAAAGTTTTCGCATCGCTGCGAAAATATTTGGTAACTTAAAAGTGTGTAGCTTTTAATTTGCTTGAGTTTCAAAAACAAGTTGAAATCATAGCACTTATCACGATATTTTTTATATGCATACAAGTGTTTTTTGGACTTGCTTATTTCACGTGTTGATTGAAGGTTGTTTTTTTCCCCTTCTTTATGTGAGACATAATGTGATTTCATTTGGTGAAATTGCCTCGTCAATATTCGGCAGTGCGTGATAAAGTACAGTGAATCAATATCAGTGAAGATGTATTTAGCATTTAATTGAGATGAAAATAAATTGTTTGAAACGTACCGTTATATAAAATGGTTGAGCCTCGTGTTGCTCCTTCAGAGGAATGAGCTTCTTCGGCTGTTGTGCCAGCAGTGGGCGATGATGGTCCCCAACAAGTTGGAATAACCGACGTTTTGCCAACAATTACAGAATTTGTGTTTTGTTGCTGTTGTGCGTTACTGTTCGTCGTGTAGCTACTGTTGCTATTACTGTTGCTATTATTATTGATCGTAGGCGACGATGACGATGATGATGAAGCATTAGCTGTTGGTGAATCGCCCACAACGTCAATTTCTTCGTCCTCTTCAATGATAGATGTTGCAACGGTATCGATATTCGATTGGGTAGTTGTTATTACTACCGTGTCTGTAATGTCGGTGATTTGTTGATTTGTTACTACGGTATTTTCAGCACGATCTTGCCACGGATAAGCTTTCCACTTTTTTGCCATTAAACAACGAGGCATTGTCTCTCAATCTCAAATCAAATTTTCGATTCAAATTTTCAATAGCAAAACACACTTTCTCTCATTCACGCACCCACACAATTTGTCTTCGTTGTCGTCGTCTTCGTCACACTCAAAAACTGTCTTCGGCGTTTGAATTTTCGTTGTTCACGTCGCACGAAAAAATTTAACATAAACAAAATAACAGTCCAATTGCACAATGCACACAATATCCAAATTAGGATTTGTTCTCTTTTTTTTTCTTACATAAAGTACATGAAAGGTCTCTTTTATTTACATAAAGATTTTTCGCAGATTTACAGATTTTGTGTATGTTTGTTTATTCTCTTGTTGCTCTTTGCAATCAAACAATGTCGTTTTTTCTCATTTAAAAACACTTTTATTAATAATTTTTTTGTTGTGGTTTTTCTTTTGTTTTTATATTAATTTAACTTAAATATAAAAGGGTAATATTGCTTTTTTTCGATGTTTCGATTTTGTTAAAAAAAATGGCACTTTTAAATAATTAAAAAATTTGTTGGAGTTTTTTTGTTTTATGTGTGTTTTTTTTTAATATTCTTTGTTGTTGCTTTTTGTTTGGTTTATTTGGATGTGAGTGTGTGTGTGTGATTTTTCATTCGAGCACGCGGAGATTATGACGTTCACATTTCATGTGCGTATCTGTTGCGATGGTTGTTTTTCACCAGAGAGAGAGAACGTTTTGTTGTGTGTTTTTTTTTTGTTTCTCTTTTCGTTTTGGGTTTTCACTTTGAATCGTGGTCGAAAAGTCGAAATATCTCTCGTTTCTCGCTTATCGTATATAATTCGCGTTGAAAAATTCGCTTGGGCAATTCCAATTTGTTTTGTTTTCTTTAGTTTTTCTCCGAACAATAATAATTGACCAACAAAATTGACTTATTTTTACATATATATAAAACTTGTGTTATATCTTCACAGACTTTCTTTTCACTTATTTTGGGGGCATTTTTTTCTTCTTTAAATTCAATTTATGCATATAAAAAACAATTTCAAATCCACCAAAAAAATAAATACTTTTTTTTTTTCTTTTTGTGTGTTAAAAACGATTCGTTTTATTTTTATTTGTTTGTTTATTTGGTTGTGTGTGTCTGTGTGTGTTATTTTTGGTTTTAAAAATATGATTTTTCGTTGTATGTTCGTTTATATTTTTTGTGTTAAACGTTTTTATAATTGTTTTGATTTGTTTGAAAAATGAATGAAAGGAAAAACAAGAGGTGAGCACGAAAAAAGGAAATAGAATAGAAGTTGCTGAAAACTGAGGTACACACGCGACAACAGAACAGAAAAAAAAGTCGAATGATATTTATCTTTCGAATTTTTTTAGTTTATAATGTTAGTTACAAATATAACTTGCTCTTTTTTGGATTTTACTCCTTTCATTTATTTTGGTTTTATTATTATGATTATTATTGACCGATTTGTGTTTTGTTATTATTATTAGATATCATTGATATTCTTTATTATTTCAATATTATTATATTATTATTATTTTTTTTTGTCGTTGAAATCGTTGAAAATACATGAATGTATTTAATTGTGTATACATATATTTTATACATATATATTGCTAATTGAAATATTGTGAGAAAAATCGTTTTTAAACAACAGCGCACACAGAAGAAAGAGTGAGAGATACATAAAACTGAACGACGAGAAAAAAAAATAAAAGTATAGTGTAAGTAAATGCGAGAGGTGACAATCGAATTGTTTCACATCCGACTTGATTCTGATTGCGGGACTCGTTCGATATTGCAAACTGAGTGGTCGTGTCGGGGTGGTTGATGTGAAATGCGCTGCTTCAGTTTTTTTTTATTCATTCACCCTGCTGTTGCTGCTGTTTCAGCAGCTCTTGCTCGCATTTTCCCAATCTTTGCTCTCTTTCTCTCTCGTTCTTGTAATGTGTGTGTGTGTGTTTGTGCGAGAGTGAGTGTGTTCATGTACGCAAGAAACACTTATAACAAACATCAAATCGTGTATTTCATCCACCAATAGTTCCCGTCGGGGGTAAAGAGACACGGAATAAACGATTCGCATACATTTAAACGAAGCGGAGTGGTAGCGTGTAAGCGAATACAGTTTGTATGATGAGCTATACGCTCTCCTTCTCTAACTCACATGTATAGATGCCCTTCGGTGTTACACAATACACAGAAACACGCACTAATAAAAAATGCGCGCGTGCTATGGTTGAATCGTGTGCTGTTGCCGATGTTGCTTCATGGTTTGTTGTTTTCTTTTTTGTTGTTGTTGATATTGTTGCTGTTGCTGTTGCTGTTGCTATTGCTGTTAGTTGCGTGTTCGCCTTTTTTGTTCCTCGCTTCATTCCATGTACACACAAGCCTGTTGTATATTGCTTATAAAGTGAATACAATGGCATGAACAGTAAATGTCTATGTAGATTGTAGAGTCGCATTCAACAATGCACTTTGATAATTACTCGACTATGAATGGGGAGCATACATACACACCTAAATACATATATATAAACACACTTATCCACAAAAGGAAGAAAATTTCTTTTTTGATTTTTGGGAAATTATCATCGCATAATGATGTCTGTTTTCCGAATAACAATAAAGTGAATGCGACACCCCTTCCCCCATTTCGACAATTTTTATTTGGTAAATGGCAAAACACACATGAAATACACGAAACTACTGTTGCACAAAAAGCTCATGAAGCGTTTCAATTTCATTGGTCTTTGTTTGCCAATTGACAAATCTCTGCATTTAATATTTTTTTTTGTTGTTTATTCATATTCAGAAATGGAACTTTTGGATTAAAGATCATAGACAGAGTTCCCACAATTGTTCTTACATTTGATATTTCATTCGAAATGCATCATTCATAACATTTGATATCGTAGTTCCTATTGGAAATTTACCATTTTGTATGTGCAAAATATACATATAAAAGAAGGATCGAATCGTTTGATGGTTATGTTTTGGGTGGCCGATTCATGCGATCATCGACATGTAGTAAATTCGAAAATAAGTGTTAACCGTAAATTTTCAGCCCTTAAAAGCTTCTTGTTGAATGCGCAAATAAAGTGAAATGTGAAATGAATGCACGCAATGGCACCGTGTGTAAATCAATGGTGTGGATTTGTTGATTTGAACGAGAGAGAGCATGTGTCTGCTTTGGCAACGTTCATATGTGTGTGTGTTTGTGCGTTCGCACTTGTGTACGTTGTATATCTATACCATACATATACAGTTTCTCTCGCGCGCGCCAAATTGATTTTAGTGGGGATGGATTCGTGTGATTGCGCATAAACCATTATAGTCTTGTGTATACATTGCGCTTGAAATCTTTTCAGTTTTAATGGCTTTTATTTTTGTTTTACTTCTTCACTTCTCAATTTTTTTGCTCTCTTTATTGCTCTCTCTCTCTCTCTCTTTCTCTCCCGCTCTCGCCAATTGATTGATTTATTGTAAATATTTTTGGATTTAAGTTTGCGATAAAACGTTAAACAAATGCGAGCATGGCAATCGAACGACTGCACACACAAAACGCCTGCTGTCAAATTGTAATGGAATATGGTATCCACTATATGGCAAATATTGTGCGATTCAAGCCGTTTTCTTTCATTAATTTCAGTTTTGCGTTTATGTTTCGATTTATTCGTTTGGGCCTCATATATTTTCTTACGCTCTTTTTTTTCGTATTTTATTTCATTCTCGCTTCTTTTTTGCGTTTTCTATTTGACCAAATGCGTGTATTGCGTGTGTGAATCCTTATATATACACACAGTATTCGTCCAAGAATTCATTGGTTTGAAAGGAATTGTATCACGCGCGACTTCAATTGACGTTGGCTCATGCACATTGAACATCGACTAAACAATACTGAATTACGCATATATCGCCATAAGCAAACTAAACAGCGAACCTCGATATCAGCGACCCTCGATCTTTCGCATTTCGATACGGCTATCATTTTTTATTGCATTGAACAGCATTTATGCCAACTACAAGACGTACAGCCGATAAACATGGCAGGGCACCCATCACACCACTGCCACCGTCATTTCAGGTCCGCATTTACGGCGACAATGGTATGAGTGGCAGTGATGGTAGCACGGCAGCAACAGTACCCAAACTAAACTTGTCTATATTTTGAATATATTGATATATTATCATGGTGCAGGTATTATTCAGACCATATTCAGTTACTTTGTACAGATTTCGTTTCAGTTTTGTGGATTTTCTTTTGTTTCCGTTCGGTTTCGGTGTGTTCCTCCTTTCGATCATTTTGCACGTTCCTTGTTCCGTCTTTCTCGTTTCTTTTTTTCCCTCCAACATTCCATTTTCGACCGAATCGTTTTACGTAAACCGTGTATCCTTCTCTGATATACATCAAACTGTTGGTAATGGTGTTGTTATTGTCGTTTCTGTTTCAAACCACTGCAGTTGCATAATATGATTTCAATGTTGTTTGAATAATTATACAATTTGATTTATGGCTGCTTATTTTTCGGGGAGGGAGAGGCTCTTTCCTGATCTATCCAGTCCTGACTTTAGACATAGAAACACACACACACATACATACATATACAAAAATCCTTATAAACATAGACACCGGCCTCTTACTCACTTCCATTCCTTTTTTGATTTCAATCGCATTAAATATCCATTATTTTCGGTTTCACAGTTGCTATGTTACGTAACAACAACTTACCTATCATCAATAACATCGACCAAATCCATTTACTACCATGATATGCTTCAGTTTGCGATTAGTCGAGCCAATTTGGCCAAAAACAATAGCTACAACGAATGGAAAAAAATTCGATAATTTTTTTTATTTTTATTATTTAAGAAAAGAATTTTCGGTTAAATACGTATTAAAATTGGGATGCAGCCGTGGCTGCAGGGATTAAAGCGCCCAGCAACAGGTAGGTTTGCATACATGAATAATCACATGGAATCGATCGATTCGGTGCATTTTTTATCGCTGCTTTATAACTGAACGCTAAAAATAAACCATGTCACAATGACCGTTGTAAATACGTAACGCAAATTAATTGATGTTAATTTTTTTCCCCTCAAACTTTCAATAAATATGAATTTCATTGATTTCATTCTTTTGCACGCTCATTCGTTGAGTGGATCCGTTTCTCTCGTATTTTTCTTCATTTATAATTGATAAATTAATTGACTTGAATTAAAGCACAATTTGTAAAAGGTTTATATTAATTATAAATTCAATGGATAAACGCAATATTTTAAGAAATATAATGCGTGAATTATTGTAGATTTGGCCGAACCGAAAATTGATTAGCTGTAATTATATCCTTTGATAATTGCCAATTATTAAAAGATTTTTGGACGGATTCATAGTCTAGTCTCATTTGTCTGTGTTACACACAAATGATAATGTGTTGTGTGGCCGAAATACATGAAATTATTGGTTCGATATGTTTAAAAATTAACGAGTCTTCATAATATGACGAAGATGAATTATTGATGTGTTTATTATCATTTTGTAGTGATTTGTGTTG